CCTGCCTGCCTGCCTTCTTTTCTCCTCTCTCCCTCCCTCTTCCTTCTTCCCTCCTTTTCCCCTTGTTTTTTAATCTCTAGGCTTTTCTACAAAGACTACAAGGATTTTTTAAAATTATTATAATAGTTTATTTTTACATCATTTTATGCCTTTTTCCATCTCAGGTGTAATCTCCATGGACTTCCCATCACCAAATCACCCATGTGCCATCACCATAGTCCTGTGCACTTCTTCCCACCACTTTTTTTTTTATCCCATTCCCCACTCCACCCCTGTAAAATGTCTCTGGTGTATAGTTGTTCATTATTATATTTCCTCCCGGTCCTTTATGCTCCTGCTACGTGAAAACAACTGGCATTTTTCTTTTTCTTTCTGGCTTATTTCACTAAGCATGATCCCTTTCAGCTCCATCCATGTTACCACAAAAGGCATGTGTTTGTCTTTTTTGATTGCTGAGTAATATTCCACTGTGTATATGTACCACATCTTTTTAATCCAGTCATCTACTTTTGGGCATTTGGGTTGTTTCCATGTCTTTCCTATTGTAAATAAAGAAGCTATAGGGGTTCAGTTGTCTTTTTGAAGCCATGTTTTGACTATAAAAATATTTTAAACCCTTGCTCAAAAAAAGGAAAAACAATAATTATTCACAGTTGTTTTCTGATGCATTGCTGTTGAGCTAACCTGCTTCTCTGTTATTTTGCACAATGAACATCCCCTGACATGGTTATGTGGCTGAGACCACCTGACGCAGAGGCAGATGGAACCGTGTTTGACTTTGTCTCAGTCACTTACCAGCTATATGACCTTTAAACAAGTTTCTTAACCTCTCTGGTCTTGGTGTCTTCATCTAGGGAAACTGGAAATAGCAATTCCTCTCTCACAAGGTTGTAGTAAGAATTAAATGAGAGAGCCTTTACCAGGTATCTGGTATGTCGTAAGTGCTAAGTAAGTGACCATTGACGCTACCTAAATTTTCATGTAGAAAGAGGTTAAATGGAAGAGTGGGGGAAAAATAAGTCTTTCCAGCTTCTTCTGGCTTGCCTTCTATGACCCAACATCAGGGACTTGTCTGACAGCTGTGGTCCTCAGGAAACCCCTGGAGGGCTTGAACTGGACGTAGAAGTAAAGGCCAGTCTGCACTCTGCTTTCAGAGTCACCCATCATCCCTCTTCTTACGACAGTCTCACATACCCCTACCCCTGTGGCTAGCGCCCAGATACAAGGGCCAGGGTGGCAGACAATACCTAGTAGTCCTGTGAAGAGGATACAGTTGGGAGGCTACCTTTGCCCATCCCACTCCAACTCTTTTGCTCCCATTAAACAGTAGCCTCTGGACAGGGTCAGCCATGCCCACATGACCACCACTCAATTCCTCACTACAAAGAGGAAAACCACCAAGTTTCCAAACCACCAAGTAAAACATGATTCTGCTTTACCAGAGGGAGAGACCAGGGATATTCCTCAGCTTCTGTCCACGGCAGCTGTCATGATCCGTCATGTGTCCCAGGGAAGAGATGGGAGGTGTAAGTTGGCACTTCCAGCTTCCAGGAATGAATAGGGCTGGGTAGGAGATAAAGCAGAAAAGATCAGTCATCATATTCCCTATATGGAATAAAAGTTCACTTATATATCTTTATTTCTAAAACGCCACTGCAGGTGTCGACCAGGTTACTATCATCTGGATAGGGGAAACCCTGAGGGCTGTACCCAGTGCTTTTGTTACGGGCATTCAGCCAGCTGCCAAAGCTCCGGGGACTACAGTGTCCACAGAATCATCTCTACCTTTCATCAAGGTAAAGTGCTTGGTCTCCTAGGAATTTGCCGCTAACATTGTAGAGCAGGTGTTCCCAGCTACATCCCCATCCAGAGGTGGGCTCCCAAGTCATCTTTAGCAACTCCTTTCTGGCTTTAAAGGCACACTATTTTTGTTTTTGTTTTTAATAATATAATAGTTTATTTTTACATCATTTTGTGCCCTTTTCCATCTCAGTTGTAATCCCCATGGGCTTCCCATCACCAAATCACCCGTGTGCCATCACCATAGTCCAGTGCACTTCCCCCACACTGTTTTTTTTTTTTTTAGGGTGCTAAAGTTATAGCTGAACTGTGTACTCAGACCAGTGCATAACTAACCTTTAAAAGGAAAACTAAAGAGAGACCCAATTTCCATTTCTTTGCATTTCCCATTCCCATCAATTCCAAAACCACAAAGGAACAATTCATGTGGACTGGTACATTCATGAGCATCTTCCTGGGGCTCACATTCCCCAGTAACTTCATGTTTTACAAATACTAAATCTATGAATGTATGCGAAGTTAGTGACTGAGCCACAAAGCACTACAAAATGTGGGAGACGATATGACTTCCCATCCAGTTTCTCTATGAGCCTACTGGATCTTCTTATTCCACCAACGTCAAACTCTGATTTAATCAAGGGCATATTTATTGACCTTGGCCAGTCTAATGCAATTGACAGACAGATGAGAACATGTTATGTCATTACAAGAGTCAGACTCAAAGGAGCTGCAGAGGGGAGTGGGTGAAGGCCAAGGCAGATGGTGCCTAGGATTTGGGGTACTGTATTTGAAGGTGGAAATGTTACAGAGCGTTACTTGCTACTCATTACAAGTGTGTTTTGCTCAACAGTTTGTTGCAAATGCAGAGTGTTTCCATTTGTGTTCCAGATGTTGATGGCTGGAAAGCTGTCCAGAGGAACGGGTCCCCTGCAAAGCTCCAGTGGTCACACCGTCATCGTGACGTGTTTAGCTCAGCACGGCGATCAGACCCTGTCTACTTTGTGGCTCCTGGTATGTGCACTTTTGTTCCATAGAAACCAAGTTTTTAGACTAAGAAGTTAGGATCACGAGATGGCATGGGGACATGTGGAAAACATATCCTCAGTGTTCAGGGCAGCAGTACCCCCAGATGGCAGTGGGGCTAAGCCCTGACTGACTAAGTCACCAAAACATGGGCAACAGAGTAGAACTGGGCACCCAAGAGGCCAGACCTTGGCTGGAGGTTCCTACTTTAATTGTTAGGAGGTTTTTCTGCCAAAAGCCTGTGGTCAGATGTCTGTGTCTACTAAAAGGCAAATAAAAAAATGAAAACAATATATATCTTACAGCTTCGCACACTTGTAAGTTAAATATATGTGTATATGCACTTGTATTTTGAAATTATATTTAATTATTTAAAATTAAGGGCCCTCCCTGGTAGCACAACAGGTTAAAGCACAGCACTATGAAGCTATAGCAGACACTGCAACATGAGTTTGATCTCTGGCTAGGGAGGTGACCCACATGGTGCAGCAGACCTCTCCTGACCTGCCCACTGCTCCCCTCAGCACTGTATTTTGTTTATCTGCCTGTTCTCTCCCCACTCTGTCTAGGGTGAATCCTCTCACCACCCCCCATACCTCTGGCCTGTACCCTAGTTCTGTATGCATAAATAAATAAATCTTATAAAAAGATAAAATAAAATTATGTATGTATGTAAGACATGTGTATGCTATGTAAGATATGTGTGTGCATATGTGTTTTGATAGGCTATATATGTAAGACATGTGTATGCTATGTAAGATATATGTGTGTGCATATGTGTTTTGATAGGCTATATAGCATGTCAAGTATATATGAATATACATATATTCATGGAGTATACCTATTCCATGGTACAAAAATCCTGGGTGGAAAAGCTCTTGCTAGAATTCGAGTCTTAGTTCACATATTTAGTGAATTTGTGACTCCTATGAACATTTTTAAAAAAGATTTATTTATTTATGCATACAGAACTGAGGTACAGACCAGAGACACATGGGAAGTGAGAAGATTCACCAGAGACGGAGGGCCTAAACATTGTTTTTTTTTAACCTTTCTGAACTTTAGCTATTACATGAGAATAAGAATGCTTGCCTCCAAGAATGATTGTCATCTAATGTGATGATGTTTGTGGAAGCATTTTGTAAATGCCATAAAGAATATGGAACCCAAGGCCATGTTTGCCATGGCTACCCAAGGCCATGTTATGATAAGGGCCATACTGTGAATGGCCTCATAGATGGAACTGGATTATAGTGAGGCCATTCCAGCATCTCAGATCTCAGTATTCAATAGCACAATCATGTCCAAAGCCATGACTCTTGGACAGAGGGCTCTCCTGGGAGGCTGGCTTAGGGCAGGGTGGTGACTGGACAATAGAGAAACAGCAATACCAACATGAATTCAAATTTGCTCACTTGTTTGCTACTGATTTATGACTGACCCAACCTTGTCCACTTCTATTTCACAGCCAAATTTCTTGGGAATCAGCAGGTGAGCTACGGGCAAAGCCTGTCATTTGACTACCGTGTGGACAGGGGCGGCAGACACCCATCTCCCCATGATGTGATCTTGGAAGGTGCTGGTCTGCGGATCACAGCTCCCTTGATGCCACTGAGCAAGACGCTACCTTGTGGGATCAGCAAGACTTACACATTCAGGTAAAAAGACAGACTGACCGCAAATGGGTCAAGTACACTCAAGTATCATTCATTCATTCAGCATCTTACATACCAGTCATGGGGGACATGATTCCAGCTCCCAAGGCCCAGATAGGCTGACAGGAGAGAAAATAAACAGGTGACTACATGCCACTGTGGGAGACTCACCCTGCACACACAGAGATGCATCACCCACACTGGGGTGATTGAGGACATGATCCTGGACAAGTCCCTTTCTTAAAGAACAGCTCTCTAAGAAAAGGAAAGGGGAGAAAGGTTAACAACACGGAGGCACTATCACACACAAGGAATTTTTGTGCATATAGGAAATTCTAAGTAGTTAAACATGCGTGGAGCATGGAGTAGGTGAGGATACTCCTGGGAAGAGATTCCACTGAGAAGTCCTGAGGGGGCGAAGGTCATGGGTGGCCCTGTGTTGTCTTAGGAGGTTACAGTTATCCTGTACAATGGGAATTTGGAAAAGCTGCTATAAAAGTGTTCAGGGAGGCCCTCCCTGGTAGCGCAGAGGGTTAAAGCACAGCACTAAGAAGCTAAAGCCACTTCCGCATGAGTTTGATTCCCACCTGCCCCAGAGGTGACCACATGGCGCAGCAGACCTCTCCTGACCCGCCCGCTGCTCCCCTCAGCAGTGTACTTCATCTATCTGCCTGTTCTGCTCCCCACTCTGTCTCTGGTGAATCCTCTCACCCTCCACATCTCTGGTCTGTACCCCAGTTCTATATGAATAAATAAATAAATCTTTAAAAAAAAAGTGTTCAGGGAAAGGAAATCTGACTCGAGTGCTTAGTACTTAACATTTGAGGCTGGAAAGATAACATGGTGTTAAAAAAAAACATGTCAAAAGCAAAGTACAGTACTGTTCAGACCAATAATTGCTTCAGCAGTGGTGCATGCTCAGGGGGCTTGGGAGGAGAGGAAAGAGTGTCTGATTCTGCCCGAGGAGTCAGGGGAAGCTTCGTGGAGGAGGCAGAACGTGGTCTGAGGACAGAAAGCAGGGCAGGTCTTTGCCCAGGAGAAAACTAGCGGGCAGTGCGCACACGCGAAGGCACGTGCAGACAGGGAAAGGGGGATGACGTCACAGGGGACCTGGCAAGCGGCGGCATGGCGGGAACAGAGCGTTTACTGGGCAGATAGGCCAATGAGGGTGAAAGGACTGGAAAGGGCCCGCTTGGTGGGCAGACTTCGTCTGTCATGTCCAGGCCTGAGATCTTGTCTGTGTCTGTGGAGGGTGGAAAGGACTTGGGAGGGGGAAGTAGGTAGGTGGTATGGCCAGCTATGGAGACTGGGTGTAAATGCCGTGGACAGGATATTCCGGGCCTTGCTTGCATCAGAAAGCATTCTGGGGGTTGAAGTGAGGATGGTGGGGGCCTCGCCGAGCACTGGGGTAGTAGGAACGGAGACTGGGAGAGCCCCAGCACACACATTGTGAACTGGAAGTCTCGCCAGCAACTCATTCTCAGGACACACGCCCTGCTCTCCTACTGTGCCTTCCCACCTTCTCAGGTTGGTGAGTGAACTTCTGAGTTGAGTTTACTACGGGGTCTTCCTTTGCCTTAGGGAAAGGTCCTGGGAGGTGCTGTGACAGCCTGCACAACATTGCATAGTACTAGAGATACTGAGTCCTGATTATGCAACTGACTCTCCCCCTCTACAGTTCTCGCTGCTGTGGGCTGATCACCTTTGCTGTCTTTGTATCCTCCAGTCAGGAAGCCCCAACCAAGGGCACTGTCAGCTGCTGGCTAACAAATCAATGAATGAAGTCAAAGGGGTGCCTGGGAAGATTCCAGTGAAAAACCAAACACAGTTAAAAATAATAGCTCAGGGCCCTGCGCAGCAGGTTAAAGCACAGCACTAAGGAGCTAAAGCCACTTCCGCATGAGTTCGATCCCCACCCTGGAGGTGACACACACGGTGCCGCAAACCTCTCCTGACCCGCCCGCTGCTCCCCTCAGCAGTGTACGTTGTCAGTCAGCTTGTTCTGCTCCCCACTCTGTCTCTGATGAATCCTCTCACCCACCACACCTGTGGCCTGTACCCCAGTTCTGTATGCATAAATACATAAAAATCTTTTTTAAAATAATAATAGCTCAAGCTGGTGACAAGAGGCAGAGATGACAAATGAAGAATTATGATAGAGACAATGTGGATGGTAGACACTGATCTTTGGAAGAGCAAACATGCTCAAAGAGCAAATCATTGAAGCAATACAACCTCTCCTAAAACTTAGAGGTCTTTGTAACATTAGCTTTTCCACAGCCCCAAAGAGAAAGTGGTCTCTGGTGACCAGCACAGCGGCTGTGACCCTGCCACTGGGGCCCCCACACTCCGCTCTCCATCACGCCCTGTGAAGCTTGTCCTCCGCACAGAGTGAGGAAGCCCCGAGTTTGTGTAGGGTGCTGGCCCTTCGCTCTCTCTCAGTAGGATTGCCAAGGGGCAGTCCTTGGTCATAATTTGTATCAGGTATACAAGTGCTAAGATTTTATAAGCTTTAGGTTTTTAAAACTGGTGCTTTTAATCATGCAGATTAAATGAACACCCAAGCAGTAATTGGAGCCCCCAGCTGAGTTACTTCGAGTTTCGGAGGTTGCTGCGGAACCTCACGGCCCTGCGGATCAGAGCTACCTATGGAGAATACAGTGAGTGGTGGAGAGCAGTGAGTCTCTCCTTGGGCTTTACTTTCAATTGTTTTAGGTGGTAACAGTCTCCAAGCAAGTAGGTACATCTTTTCATGGCTCTTATCGAGTCTACATTTTTGCATTCTAAAAGTTGTTAAAAAGGAATGTTTCACCTCAATTCCCAGAGCAGATGAGTGGATCGGGAAAATATGGTATAGATACAAGCTGGAATATCATTCAGCGATCAAAAAAGATAAATTCATACCATGTGTGGCCACATGGATGGAGCTAGAAACGATATGCTAAGAGAAATAACTCAGAAGGAGAAAGATAAATACCCGATAGTGTCCTCAAATGTGGAATATAGAGAAGCCAAACTAAGGGCCAGATAAAGCCAAACTTAATGATTAATCCTTGAAAACTGACTGAAGTGAGGAATCTGGAGGGGCCCCAGGGAGGGTGAGAACAAAGTGGGGAGGGACACAGGGAACTATGGTGGTAGGTGCACCTGAAGAGGGGGGCCCCTGTACTTCCAAAATACAAACAGTGATGTAAATTAATGGTACCTCAATAAAAAGTAGAAGCCAAAAAGGGTTAGGAAGGAGAACTTATAATAATAATAGTGAAAGGAATGTGTCTCTAAAAAGAGGTCAGCACCAATGAAAACTAAACGATACTATCTTGTTAAAAGAATCTCCTCATTTCGACTGGAGCTGATGAATTGAATGGGATGAGCTCTGGAAGCAGAAGTGGCATCTGTAAAAGTCTTGTTTCTCCCCAGTAGCTTTGCTTCTTGGATTATTCTCCATGTTGCCACATTCAGACATCACTGAGTATTCTGCACATCCCTTTTGTCTGTAAACTCTGTGAGCTCCACTTATTGACAAGTGGAATACTCCTGTTATTTACCAGGAATTATCTCCGTGAGAGTTCCTTAAGTTTGCAAAAACCTATGTCAAGAGGAAGCAGGGCTGGCAGGCCATGTTTCCATGGCATCAATGCAGCAAAAAAAGCAGGAACTGGAAAAGGTCTTATTAACAAGGCCCTGAACCTTTGCTGTGTGCCAGCACATGACCACGTATGCATTGTCTCGTGTGGTTTTCACAGGTACAGGAGGTAGACACCACTCATGTCTATTGCTGAGGAAACACAATCATGGAGGGTGATATGTCCCGCAACAGGGTTAGGCAGATGGAGCAAGGATTTGCCCCCAGAGCTGTGGGCTCAGGCATGAGGGAGGGCGCTCCTCTGGAGTTGGGCAGCACCTGCCTTTGACAAAAACAGAAATGCAATCCAAACAGAGGCCTGACTTTAGAGCATTAGACATTCTTTTTTAAAAAAAATCTATTTACGTTATTGTTCATTTTATAACAATGTTTACTTCCCCTCTCCCCCTCCCCTCATCGCCATAGCCCCCCCATTCCTCCCTCTTTCTGACCCCTCTCTGCCCCCCTTCCCTGGAGAATCTTTCTGGTGTATCATTGTCTGTTTGTTTTTGTAGCGTTTTGACATTCTGACCACTGCTTCTGACCTGTTCTTTCTGATGCAGGTACCGGGTACCTAGACAACGTGACTCTGATTTCAGCCCGCCCGGTCTCTGGAGCCCCTGCCCCCTGGGTTGAACAGTGTGTGTGTCCCATTGGGTACAAGGGACAGTTCTGCCAGGATTGTGCTCCTGGCTACAAAAGAGATTCAGCCAAGCTGGGACCTTTTGGCACCTGTGTTCCATGTAACTGCCAAGGGGGAGGGGCCTGTGACCCAGACACAGGTGAGTGAAATGACACCTGAACCCAGTGAAGGGGGGTGGGGTGCAGCCAGGTGCCAGGGGTCTCTCAAGGAAGCACCCGAGCTGTGTAAAAGAGACTGTGCCTGAACTCATTTTGGAGATGGGAAAGGATTAAGGGACATGGGCTGGAGTGGGGAAGAGGGACCTGGACCTGGCGCTTTGTGACACTCAAGCCCTTTCTTTGTGGAAATGCCACAGGTGGTAAGGAAGGTGCTGGGTTACAGGAAATGACTGTCACGGTTCAGTGCTGAATGGGGGAGCTGGTGTCATGTTGCAAGCATTGAATAGGGAGATCAAAGGCAACTTCAGGACCTGAATAGGTCGTGCTGACAAATGGTGTCAGGCCCTGTGGGGGAGGACGGCAGAGGGAGCTTGTTAGGTTGTGGACCCTAAAGGCAGCGGGGTGTCCGCTTGGTGGGGAGAAGAGGGTGTCAGGGTCCTGTCTGTTGTAGAGTGGGTGCAGGGCCAAGGTGAATGCCAGCGCTCTGCCACCTCTGAGGAGGCCCCAGAAAGGAAGGTTTTGTGTTACCAAGCACTCGCCATCCATGTTAAAGGAAGGGAGTTGTTTACCCTTCTGATTCTCTGCCTTTCTCCTCTTGCTCGGCCTCCCAGGAGATTGCTATTCAGGGGATGAAAATCCTGACATCATTGAGTGTGCCGACTGCCCCATCGGCTTCTACAACGACCCCCACGACCCCCGCAGCTGCAAACCGTGCCCGTGTCGCAATGGATTCAGCTGCTCAGTGATGCCCGAGACGGAGGAGGTGGTGTGCAACAACTGTCCCCCTGGGGTTACTGGTAAGGCTTCGGCCAGCACGCCCTGTCCTGGGGCCTCGCCTCTCCAGCCCTAGCCTCTGTTCCAGTCTCTCGGGAATTATGAAGATAATTCTAAAGACAAGAATTTCCTGATACCTGGGAGTAGTTGGGTTGAAGAAGAGCAGAGTACAGCCAGGGAAGGAAACATCTGACGCTGTTTTTAGGAGGGTGGGAATTAGAGAATGGACTGTTGAAGCGAAAACAAGGTTTAACAATTTCAAGAAGGAGCGACGATAAAGTAGATGACTGCAGTTACCTTAGAAACGCCACCTCTCTCTTCTGGTTGGTGTGTCGGCAGAGCCTTGCCACCTCTGTGGACTTCCCCAGCCAGCTGGGCAAGCTGCAGGAGGTGCCTTTGGGGGGCACTGTCACCTCATAAAGCTGAGGAGCCAGAGTGCCAGCCCCTTCCCCTGGCTCCCGCTCTGCAGGCGACTTTTGTGGGGTGGGGCCCCTGCAGCTGGTCTTGCTGCCAATGGGTGGTCACTGGGGTCTGGTTGTTTTTCCCAGGTGCCCGCTGTGAGCTCTGTGCCGATGGCTACTTTGGGGACCCCTTTGGGGAGCAGGGTCCAGTGAGGTCTTGTCAGCCCTGTGAGTGCAACAACAACGTGGACCCCAGTGTCTCTGGGAACTGTGACCGCCTGACAGGCAGGTGCCTGAAGTGCATCCACAACACAGCGGGCGTCCACTGTGACCAGTGCAAAGCAGGCTACTTTGGGGATCCCTTGGCTCCCAACCCAGCGGACAAGTGTCGAGGTAGGACTGTGCCCTAGACAGACTGTGTGTGTGTGTGTGTGTGTGCAGATGTTCTAGTGTGAACACAGGTGAGAGAAAACAAACCAACAAGGCCGACAACAGTTAGTCGTATGAGGTTAGTTTGGTTTCTCTGACCCATTGGCCCACGAACAGCCTGGACCTTTCACCTGTCAGTGGTGAGTTGCTGCCACAGCCAGACTCCGGAAGACAGCACTGGAGGACATCAACAGTGTTAGGCTGGAGTCCAGGCAGCAATCAAGTGGGCCACATCCTAATGCCCTGAGCTGCAGGCAGGAAGTAGCTCCCAAGCTCACTTCTGAGGAGGGCTAAGTCCCTGGAGACCAAGCCAGGACAGACTGAAGTGGGACAGTGGAGGCTCTGAAGATGCAGCGCCCCTCTCTGGAAGTCAGAGGTATAGAAAGGTCACAGTCAACTTGTCCCCAAGACAGGAACTCAAGGGAGCCGCTATTCCTAAGGGCTGCTTCAGCCCAAAATATGAAAGTGCAGCTGGGTCTCCTCACCCTGCCCATCTTGCAAACTCCTGATCTTGTTACATTCTAGAGGAAGCTTCAGTTCTGGGTGCTGGTCTGCCCCTAGCCTCACCTCTTAGCACCTACAGCCTCAGGCCAGTCCTGGTGTGCAGAACTCAGGAGCTTATTTATTTTAGACCTGGAGTGTCTCTGAGGACAGACATTAGAAGGCTCCTGGTACCCCCAGGAGGTCTGCAGGGAGCCTGCCCCATCCCCAGCCCAGGCTGGACCAGTGTCTCCACCCCTGGAAATAGCATAGATGCCCTGTACACCCCTGGGGTCCAAATCCCATCTGCCTGGACCACAAACATGGGTTAGCTGTCATGTGCAAGCTACTCACACTGGTAGCACCCATGCACTGTCAGCAGTCCTGAGCCCAGGTCCATCTTTTTTTTTTTTTTTTAAATAAGATAATAGCTTGTTTTTACATCATTTTGTGCCTCTTTCCATCTCAGTTGTAATCCTCGTGGGCTTCCCATTGCCAAATCACCCTGTGCCAACACCATAGTCCAGTGTACTTTCTCCCTCCCCCAGCATTTTGATCCTACTCCCCACTCCACCTCCATAAAATGTCTCTGGTATATAGTTGCTCAATATTATTATCCCCCCCAGTCCTTTATACTCCTGTTATGAGTGAAACCACCCAGTATTTTTCTTTTTCTTTCTGGCTTATTTCACTAAGCATGATCCCTTCCAGCTCCATCCATGTTGCTGCAAAAGGCATGAGTTTATCTTTTTAATTGCTGAGTAATATTCCACCGTGTATATGTCAGGTACATCTTTTTAACATACAAACCTATTGCCTTACACTGGTTATGCCAATTCATCTCTCTGGGCTCAGTGTTCTCATCTAGATGAATAATACTTAACTCAATGTGCAAAAATATACTGTAAAATACATAATTCTAACTAGCGGGTGCTGTTCATAGAGATTTCACTGACTTTTGATCATCCATTTTGTTCATTCAACTATCTGTTGTTAAGCACCTAAGCGTGAACCAGATGTAGAGCAAGATGCTGACATTATAGTGATGAATAAGTCAGTCTCAACTCCCAAGAACTCATATACCAATAAGTAGAATGCACAAATATATAAGCACATAATGTCAGTGCACTTAGATATGCAGTCACGATACTCTGTGATAGCAGTGGGTTGCACTGAAGATAGAGCAAGCCAAAGAATCACTCGAACACCCTTAGAGCAGAGTCTTACCCACTGTTAGCTACATCCTCAGCTTTTAGGCCAGAGCATGACCTATAGTCGGGGCTCCATCATTGGACTGAACGAACAATGGTATGGCCTTCTTTCTGTATTTCTGATGTCAAAGGCAGTAAGCAGAAAGGGGAAAGCTTTGGCTCTTCACAAGTCTCATTCCAGTTTGCCATTTCCCTGCAAACTGGACAAGCTGCTCGCCTTCTCTGAACTTGTAATCGTCATTAGTTTGATTCAGGGAGATGTCTACATCTGACACATAATAAGACCAGAAGAAATGTGACTCCTCTTGTGAGCAAAGCCAGAGTGCCTACAGAATATCCAGCAGGCTTAGATCTTAACAGGAGGGAGAAAATAAACACCACCAGAAAGGACGGAGAGTTGCAATAGCTTTTTATCCACACATACCAAATGAACTTCCAGATGATTTCTAAGGCCTCTCTGTATTAGGAATATGTCTGTAGGCATAACCAATAGATGAATCTACTACAATATGAATCTTTGCCATGGATGATTGTCTCTTCTTTTAGCTCTACTATTCCTGCAGTTTCTGGAATTAGCTTGATAGGAATGCTCCCTGTCGGTCTGCCCTTTTTCTCTAGCTTGCACCTGCAACCCAGTGGGCTCTGATCCTGTGGAGTGTCGAGGTGATGGCAGCTGTGTTTGTAAACCAGGATACGGTGGCCCCCACTGTGAGCATGCGGCGTTAAACAGCTGTCCAGCTTGCTATGACCAAGTGAAGACCCAGGTCTGTGCTCATGGTGCCCTGTCCACCTCATGCCCACCAGGAAGATCTTTAAGTGTCTATTGGGTGGTTCTGTCACAGATCTGGGGGTCTCCTAGTTCCTTGGGGGTAGGGATTGCTATTTCTTTTGTTAAAAATTTTTGTGTTAAACAAAAAATTGACTAATACTTCAGGTCTCTGCTCTTATAAGTATGATTTTTCAACACCTCTTTTTAAAAAAGATTTATTTATTTATTTGTGCATACAAGAACTGGGGTATAGTCCAGAGGTATGGAGGGGGGTTGAGAGGATTCCCCAGAGACAGAGTGGGAAGCAGAACAGGCAGATCCACTGAAATACACTGCTGAGGGGAGCAGTGGCCAAGACAGGAGAGGTCTGCTGAGAACTAAGACTCTCAGCCGCCTCCCCTGACTCTGGCCTCAGCACATTTTCCACTATACTATACCACTATCTAGCTGAATTTCCCCTCTCAGAGATGTCCTTATAAAACAAATTAAGGAAAATGTAAACATATAAAAGACAGGAGTTCAGACAACATCAGGACTGTTTAAACAGGGAAGGACTCCAGAAATGTCTGGTTCATATTCCAGAGAGGAATGGAAGTGATGTTGCTGTTAATTATTAATTACTATTTTGCTAGAGTGAGGAGTTGGGGAGAAAAAGGCCTGGACAGAACCCCAAATGCAGAACATTTTTCTGTCTTTTTAAATTGTTTAATCTTTTTAAAGATTTATTTATTTATACATACAGAACTGTGGTACAGGCCAGAGGTGTGGGGGGTGAAAGAATTCACCAGAGACAGAGTAGGGAGCAGAGACTGGAATACATTGCTGAGGGGAGCAGTGGGCAGGTCAGGAGAGGTCTGTCACACTATGTGGGTCACCCCCCTAGCCGGGGATCAAACTTGTGTTGCAGTGGCTTTGATGGCTTCATAGTGCTGTGCTTTAACCCATTGCACCATAAGGGAGGGCCCTAAATTCTTTTTTTTTACTAAGGTAACATTGATTTCAGCTCTGTGTATGATTTAGGTTCACACATGTACAGGTTCACACCTTCTCAGATGTATGTCAGCATATACACCCCCACCATTTCCTTAATTTGTTTTATAAAGACATCTTGGAGGGGGGAAATTTCAGCTAGAAAGTGGTATAGTATAGTGGAAAAGTGCTAAGGCAGAAATCAGAGAAGGTGGGTGGGTCTCATTTCTCCTGACCAGGTGATTGAAAGGCACCCTGAGGCTCCCCCCTAGCCCATTGGGCCCTCCCCCCACTTGACTCCCTTCCTCCCATAATCCGCCTCTAGAAGCCTCAATTCTACAGTCAGATTTCTAGGATTTGCTGTGTCTCTTCCTTTGCATTGTTTCTTTATATTCCACATATGAGTGAAATCATCACTCCCCTTGTTTTTTTCAACTTACCTATTTAAACTCTATAGCACTTTCTCCAGGTTCTGTTGTAGCATTGCACAAATATTAACTCCTTTAGTTCATGTAATAACTATAAGATACTATGATTAGCCCCATCTTATGGATAAACAAAATGACTCATCCAAGGTCACACTAAGTGAGTAGTGGGCCAGGATTCCAGCTCAAATTCTCCAGGCTCTAGAGTCTAAACTTTTCCCTAGTGTGACATGCTGAGCTGTTCTGGGCTGTTAGCTGTTATTTCCCGGGTGCCTGGTATCTGATAGTGGTCATCTCCATTCTGTTTGAACCCTCTTTCCTGTGTGGTTTCAGATGGATCAATTTAAACAGCAGCTTCAGAGCCTTGAGACCCTGGTTTCAAACGCTCAGAGTATTGGTGGATCAGTGCCTGACTCGGAGCTGGAAGGCAGGATGCAGCAGGCTGAGCAGACCCTTCGGGACATTCTTCTAGAAGCCCAGATTTCAGAAGGTGATGAAGGCCAATTTCCACCAGAGAACAGAGTGCACTCCTAGTCACATGAGGTCGCCACCTCTTCTGCAGGTGTCACTTCAGCAGATTTCCCTGCCAAATCCTTGCAGAGGTGGGAAGACCATCTGTGACCTTCCCCTGCGACATGAACAATGGCATAGGCATGCCCACATGCACCTATATACAGGGTGTTTCTCACTGGCCATAAACCAAAGACACCTTTTCAACTCTCCACTGTGTTTGATTATGCTATGCTGACCCCAGATGTGCTCATGCTCCCTTTCCTTGTTGGTGTAAAGGTGCTGTGAGAGCTCTCAATCACCAGCTGACCAAAGCAAGGAGCCAAGAGAGTAGCTACCGGAGTCGCCTGGACGACCTCAAGGTGGCTGCAGAAAGAGTTCGGGCCCTGGGCAGCCAGTACCAGAACCGAGTTCAGGACACTCGCAGGCTCATCACTGAGATGTACCAGAGCCTGGAAGAAAGCGAAGCTTCCCTGCAAAACACTGTAGGTGTTGCGGGTCAGGGTGCGGAGTATCTGTGCTATGTGGGGAGACCTAGAGGCGCACATCACTGCTCACTTCCCCTCTCAGGCGTTCTGTCTACATGGACTACACAGCCCTTCCCTGTAATGGTCAGGCTCACTGCTTCTGTTCTTTGGCTGTCTGCAATTTCCATTTTATGTCCCTCTCCCTGGTTCATTTTTTTTCTAACCATAGCCTCATGTTGGGTCTGTGTCTTCTAGTTTGTTAGCTCACAGCGGGGTGAAGGGGGCAGGATTTAGTCCAGTTCCTGATTGCATTCTGAGCCTGCAGCGCGTGGCTTAGCTGCCTGAGTAAGTGAACAGGTTTATAAAGGGACAAATGAATGAACAAATGTAAAGGGGAGGAAAATAGGGTGGGGAGGAAGAAGAAAAGAAAGAGTCCAAGGAAGACATGGTCCTAAAAATAGGGAGGAAGTTGTTGCTAATATCACTTATTTTAATGATGTAGCTTGTCATGTTGTAGGAGGAGCTCATGAGCGCACTCTGCTATTTCTGAATAAAAAAGGTAATGGAGGGTGGGAGATGGATAAAGGAAATTGGAAGATGCTAAGACATTATGCCAAGGAAATGAAGGATTTAAGAAGTATGTATTGATTTTTCCCCTTATTATAAAAATAAATATTGCAGAAAGAAATATAAATCTCCTTTGATCTCATGATTAAGGAATATCATCAAAACTTAGTAGGCATTCTACTGGACTTTAAATACATATGAAAATCTGGACATGTATGTATTATTTTAGTGCATCTATATCTATATGCGGACTGTTTTTTGAACTTGGACTGCTGCTTTCTCTTGTCTATTCATTTTTTAATGGCACCACCTCGGTGCCTAGCGACATCAGTCTCAAGAGTGTGGAATGTTGTGTGGCTGACTACAAGACACCTGTCAGTGCAAAGCCTTAACCAATTCTCCTTTTTCCACAGAACATTCCTCCCTCAGAGCACTATGTGGGGCAAAATGGTTTTAAAAGTCTGGCTCAGGAAGCCACAAGACTGGCAGACAGGTGAGCACCATCAGAGGCATCTCTGCTTCACCCTACAAGGCTGACACGAACCACACGGCAGGAAATGTGGTCCCACGCACATGCCCTACTTGTTACCTGCAGGCATCTTTGCAGTGGGAGCCATTTTGCCTTGAAGCCATTTTTTTAAATCACTACATACACTGGCTGTTAGTGTATGTAGGTGGCTACTAGGCACCGTCATTTGGCAAGAATTGGGGTGGGAGGTGGGGTTCTTTTCCAGATTTCTCTATGACTCATTGTATATGTCAGATGTAATTCCTCCAGCCCCATGAAATGAATCAGTCCTTGAAAAACAAGGCTCTACAGCTCTGAGGGACTCCCAGGCTCCCACCTCAAGCCTGGGAACAAGTAGCAACAAGTTTTTGCTAGCCTTCAGGGACCAAGTGTGCAGATGGGAGAGACTCCCTCCTGAAAACCAGCTCTGCAGGCTCCATTATCAGGCAGCTCCCTTGTCCTCGCCTGACTGTAAGTCTTTCCATGTTGCAGAGTTTTCTGGAAGCAGCATGCTCAGCAGGACAGCAAGCTCTGTTAATCCCAAATGGAATTCAGTCAGCAGAAGGGGGTTGGCTTGTGTTTTTTGTAGTATGAGCTGTCTCAAGCTTCTATCACTTTCTAAAACCAGGAAAAGCCAAAAGCATCTAGGGGTGTTGTAATGACAGCCTCTGTCTAGAGTTGCGACAACATTGAGTGGGGGACCCTGGATGATATAAAACCTAGGGAGGTTTTCTTAAGAAAAGAAAATAACCTAAGAACTAGAGTATTTTATCACCCAGAGATTGCTCCCACCCATCTGCACCCCCAATCCTGGAATCATGCCCCACCACACCTCCCAAATGACTAATAAGTCTGTGACCTGGGCTCCTTCTCCAAAACACCTGCTCCTGAGAGTTCCCCTGACTCCATCTAATCTGGAATCTTCTGTTTAGCTTTGTAGACTAAGTTCCTTTACTCTTGTCCCGTCATTTAGAATAAAGACATCCTTTGCTATGAAAACTCAAATTCTTTGTTTTTAATCCTTTTAGCCACGTTGAGTCGGCCAGTAACGTGGAGCAGCTGGTAAGGGAAACAGAGGAGTATTCCAAGCAGGCCGTGGCGCTGGCACGCAAGGCTCTGACTGAGGGAGGCGGGAGCGGCGGCCTGGAGGGCTCCGTCGTGCAAGGACTTGTGGGAAAGTATGTTCCAGCGGGTCTCACCTGGACCAATATACTCTGTAGCCTCCTGGTGTACTATGCAAACTGAGGTTGGGGGGCACCATGTTGTTTAAAATATAGTAATACTCAGAGGGACAGGAGATTGGGTGACTTTGAAAGCAGGTGTCGTCAAAGCTGGAAGAAGAGAAGAGTGGTTAATACGTGGCTCCATCTAAGTAAAGTTTGTGTTTTGACTGAGAGATTTAAATATTTGGCGATCCAGTCACCTCCTGTGGTGGCTGAGGACCTGAGTAATCTCATCGGATGGCATGGAGGATATAAAAATAATGTATTTATATTATCAAGACTTGGGAAACTTGGCTTGAAATTTTCTGACCCAATCTGTATAAACTTTAAGGTTTATGTTTAGATTGCTGAGAGGATTGTATCTGACACAAACCTCCTTTGTTTCTTCCGATGAGTCCAACTATATCCTTATTTTTTTTTTACAGTTTATAAAATGTAGGTGTTTAAATGTATGTATTATTATTTTTAAAATAAAGGGAGGAATAGCTGCTTTTATAAAAAGAATAAATCCTCAAAGTCTGCCCCTCCTCCTCCTGGCTTCTCCGCAGACTGGAGAAAACTAGGTCCCTGGCCCAGCAGTTGTCCAGGGAGGCCACACAGGCTGACATTGAAGCTGATGGGTCTTATCAGCAGAGTCTCCACCTCCTCAACTCGGTGTCTCAGCTTCAGGGAGTGAGCGACCAGTCCTTTCAGGTGAGGCCATCGCACTCATATGTTGATGACAGAGAAGGAGCATAAATGTTCTCTTATCATTATGTGTCCATGTTGACCTTTCTTGCTTTCTACTGGGAAGAATACTTATCCTTCTCTTGACCCATTCTCTTGTACTTAAATCTCAGCATTAGCCTTTGAATAGGCATTGGCTCACATCCCAAACCTATTAGTGGATAAGAGTTTTATATCTCTTCCTTAGTTCTGGGGACTGTTGAAACCTGTAGGAAATTATTATAGATAAAGATTGATATTTCCGTTTGAGTTCAACATAGTACATCTCTCAAAAGACACTTAAAGACCTTCATTCTCACAAGTTTTGCATTGTTCCTGCCATCCTTTGACTATCCCAGATTTATTAGTCTGTCTTCTGCCTACAGCTAAACACACTCACAATGATTCCCACAAAAATTGTTGCCATCTATGTAAAAACTAACATGTTAAGAAAGACAGCAAACATAAAACCTGCTAGAGGCTTGAGGGAACTGCTTACTGACTTTCAGAGGGAACATTGCCTCTTCCTATTAGACTTGGAGCCTGGGTTTTTGTTTTCAAACAATGATGTCAAGCACTAAGAAGGCTGCTGCGGTCACTGGTGAGCAAAAGGCCAGATTCATCCATTTCTTCACCTTACAGGTAGACCTGAAGAGGATCAGACAAAAAGCCGATTCTCTCTCAAGTCTGGTGACGAGGCATATGGATGAGTTCAAACGCGTGCAAAGCAATCTGGGCAACTGGGAAGAAGAAATCCAGCAGCTCTTAGAGAATGGAAAGAATGAGAAGCAGGTACCCTTTTGTTAATCTTAACAAACATGTATTGAGTGCCTACCATGTGAATAAATATGCTAAGAGGAACTTTAAAGGTCACGATACTGCTGCTTATTGAGGAAGCTGCTGAATACACAGATGTAATTAGCTCATTTCCACCCATGATTCAGTCCACAAATCTTGGAACAGGACTCAGGCTTCCTGGGTCCAATTTTGGTTTAATTCTGTCTACTAACTTATCTTCAGGAGGTCTATAGTTTCACATGATTTGCAGAACTGTTCTTGTCGCTGGTAATGGACTAGAGTTTAAGGTTTCTCTGTATGGAAGGTGTCCTTGAGTTCCAAAGTTTTCTCTGTCTCTGATTATGAGGGGTTTGTTATAGCACACTTAGATTATTCCATGAATCACCACACTGTTGTCATGTAGAGAAATGTGTTGGAGTGATTATCCTGGCAGGAATATGTTTCCTTGGTATATGTTTCATTTACTCTGATCTTACTCTGTCTTCCTATTTACAGAAATCAGATCAGTTGCTCTCCCGTGCCAACCTTGCTAAAAGTAGAGCCCAAGAAGCACTAAGTATGGGCAATGCCACTTTTTATGAAGTTGAAAACATCTTAAAGAATCTCAGAGGTGTGTATTTTATGGTTCAGTCACTTGAGTGTTTTAAAGGTGTAAGCATGACTTTTATTTATTTTGAATCCTCATATAACTCTCTAAGTGATAGGTATATTGGGTTCAACCAATTAGTACATGTTCAGTAAACATCTTGCCAAAGAAAAACTATTCATTAACATTTGATGTAGTGAAAAGAATGGAACTCGATGTCTGAAAAGTCAAGTTCTAGTCTGCTGAGGTACATGGCCAGTCTGATCTGGCTTTGTGAGCACAAGCAAGTCGCATGGCCCTTTTAGATCCTAGTTTCCTCCCTGAAAGGGAGGATTGCAAATGAAGTGATTGCTAATGCTCTTACAGCCTGGTAGTTTTCAACTATTTAGATATTTTTCCTTTTCTTTTGTAGCCTGCTTGGCTCCAATATAGAATTAATGTGCTTCCTTTGTGGTGATGATGGAGCAAGCTTTGTCACAGCATGCAGAGTCCAGGAAATTTGGGCTTATAACTTGCAGAGATTTGGTTAAAGTTTTAGGCTAAAAACAAAAAAGATGTTCCTCTATGTTTTGGGATTGTCTTTGTGACAAGTGCCTCTACCCATTCTATCCAAGCCTTCATGACTATCATTGTCAACTTAGCGTGTAAGGCTCTGGCTTGAAACTTTGAGCTTCTAAGATTCCACCTGCTTCTGATCCATTTTGGAGTCTTAACTCTTATACAGTAGTGGCCCCTGGCAGGCTGATTGTCAGTTTCTCTAAGCAAAGGGCTAGTTATGGTCCTTTCAATGTCTCCTGCTGGGATTTTTGTTAAAAACTTCAGGTCCGGGCCCTCCCTGGTGGCGCAGCGGGTTAAAGCACTGCACTAAGAAGCTTAAGCCACTTCCGCATGAGTTCGATTCCCGCCTGCCCCGGAGGAGATCCACATGGCGAGGCAGACCTCTCCTGACCCGCCCGCTGCTCCCCTCAGCAGTGTACTTCGTCATCTGCCTGTTCTGCTACCCACTCTGTCTCTGGTGAATCCTCTCACCCTCCGCATCTCTGGCCTGTACCCCAGTTCTGTATGAATAAATAAATAAAACTTTAAAAAAAAAAAGAAAGAAAAAGCAGAAACCTTCAGGTCCTTTTATCTTTATTTGTAAGTTATTTTTCATCTTCATAGCAGTTTTTTTTTTTTTTATCTTCACTTCAGAATTTGACCTGCAGGTTGAAGGCAGAAAAGCAGAAGCTGAAGAGGCCATGAAGAGACTCTCCTACATCAGCCAGAAAGTTGCAGATGCCAGTGACAAGACCAAGCAAGCGGAAACCGCCCTGGGCGGTGCTACTGCTGATGCCCAGAGGGCAAAGAACTCAGCCAGTGAGGCCCTGGAGATCACAGGCAAGATAGAACAGGTAAAGAGAATTCTAGATGTGGATTGTTAGGAGCAGCCCCAAACACATGGGGGGGCAGTATGAGGAGAGAGAACCTGGGGTCCATTTCATCCCCTATAACTCAGAATCCTGTTTTGCTCTGTGTAGCCCCAGAGACACTCGGGCACCCCTTTTGGTGAATAATTCAAGAGATGTCATTGAGACAGTGCTGGAACTCACCCGGACACCATTTTCACCTCCCTTTCTGGACAACACCATGAGAACCATCTAAGACTGTTTTTTACTCTATTATATCAGTCTTAGAGCTGCTACCACAAAGTACCATAGGCTGGGGTGTTTAAAACAGAAATTTGTTCTTACAGTCTGGAGGTTAGAAATCTGAAATGAAAATGTCAACAGAGCTGCGGCCCCCTGAGACTGAGGAGAGAATGTTTCTCTGCCTTTTCCTAGCTTCTGGCCTGGCTCTCAACCCCTGGTGCTCTTTAACTTGCAGAGCCACAGCTCCCGTCTCTGCCTGTAGCTTGGCATAGGGGTCTTCTCCTAGGGATCTCCCAGGACACTAGTCATATTGGATGAGGGGCTCACTCTACTCCAGTGTGACCTTGTCTTAACTAATTACCTCTGCAACATGCCTGTTTCCAAATAAGCTCACACTCTCAGGTACTGGGGGTTAGCGTATCTTTCTGGGGGTAAAGTTCTACCTGTAACAACTGTCATTCATGTTTCAATTCAAAGTGATGAAGTTGTGGCTTCCTAGATCCCACGCCCATGCCTGTATTCCATGTCTAAGCTCTACTTATTCATTCTTCTCTCTCCTCCCACTCCGTGCTTGGTCCTGGGGATGTGGAGTTGAGAAAAACCAGTCCTTCTCTCCAAGGAATATTCAGTGTAAGGGGAAGAGACAGATAACCAGATTACAAACCCATGTGTTAAATGCTCCAGGAGAAGGAGTGCCTTTTAGTTGGAAGAGAACATCCAAGTTCTTATGTAAGCATGACTTCTAAAAGGAGTATGCAACTCTAGAAAGCCCGGTGGGAACTCTCGGTATCTGGATTGATTAGCTTCATTCTTAGAGGCTTGCAAAAACAACTTCTCATTTGAAGTCCCTTGAGAGCAGAAACCAATTTCAGGGTACCTCTCTTTACACAGAGACACCCGCCATTTGATGTTTATTAACAGCTTATCGATAAAGAGAGTAATGCACTTTGTGTTAAGGAAAACAAAGCTCAATGCTTATAGCTCATTTGTCTGCACCCCCAACTCAGCTGTCTCAGGGATGTTAACAGACTGACAGCAAAGAATCAGGGCAGAGAACACCAGAACTTGCTTCTCCCTGAGTCTTCCTGACTGGTTCCTGGTGCACTCATCCCATGGTGAGAGAATGACCTGAGAGGGAAACAGTCTCACTCCTTACCCTCCCAGTCCCCAGAGACATAGCCCAAAACTAGCTTGTTTGAGGCAGAGCTTGGAAGGGTGTGTCCCCCAGACTGACTCTCTCTCTCTTGTTCATCTTACTCCATCCATCAGGAGCCGGCTGCAGCTGTATTTTTTTCTGCAGCTGTCCTTGGGTTGTTTTTGTGCCTCACCCCTCTCTCTCCCCTTCCGTCCCTGGCTCCTTGTCTTCTCCCAGGAGATAGGGAGTCTGAACTTGGAAGCCAATGTGACAGCAGATGGAGCCTTGGCCATGGAGAAGGGACTGGCTATGCTGAAGAGCGACGTAAGGGAAGTGGAAGGAGAGCTGGCAAGGAAGGAGCAGGAATTTGACCTGGATATGGACATGGTGCAGACAGTGAGTCGCCCTTACTTTCTAGGGGAGACCCTTTGAAATGTGCCCCTGTGGGAAATGGCTTCTCAGACTGGTTCATATTTCCTCTTCCTTAGGTAATTACAGAAGCCCAAAGAGTTGATACCCGAGCGAAGAGTGCTGGAGTAACAATTCAAGACACACTCAGTGCTCTGGACAGCATCCTACACCTAATAGGTACGTGAAGTAGCCACACCTGTCTACCCCACGCTTCAGGGCTTCCCTGGAACACTCACTAGACCTAGCCCTGATGAGTGGCAATCCCAGCTTCCCTACTGGGTATCTCGACCTTTGCTTTGTTTCCAGGCTTCAATATTTCAGGGAGGTTCTAGTTACCTGGGCTCTATTTTGCCAGCTTTCAGGTGGGTCACTGGAAGCAGTGCTCTTGAAAGTGTCAGCCGACTGGTCAAGAACTGGATATAATTAGGAAATTTAGAGCCAAAGAGAAGACTGGACGGCTTGAGAGTCCCACTAAGGATTCTGGCCTCAATCCTGTAAAGTCCTTTTAAGCAGACAAGTAATATCTCCACATATTTCAGAGAGGTCACTGGTGGCTGAGTGAAGGAGAGCATGAAGGTTAGTGAGCCCACTCCGATTGTTGATGTAGGGGATGGAGGCAAAAGAATCTGCTCAAAGAGAGTGAAGTGGTGAGGGGAGAGATTCTCCCTCTCTGGTATCTGGAGTCACTTTCTGAGGCTGCTGTATGTTCTGCCCCAGACCACACTTAGCCCTTGCTTTAGTCAGCTGTGGTAACTTGAGATGCCTGAGTAGCTAATCTAGACAACTTGTAAAATTTTAGGATAAAATGGAGCCGATGGTACTGAGTGGCCGTGAACCAGGTCCCCTCCTCCCCTTAGAGTCACACTGAAAGGAAAACAGATTTGTGTTAAGATTCTGGCTTTTGAGTAAACTGACATCCAGCCCACATTTGGCCTGTTTTTTCAAACATGGGCTATAGCAGGTATGGAACTAGGGGTTAACTCACAGATTCCAGCAACATCCAGGGAGAGTTTAATTCTCCTTTTTAGTAGACAAATTTAAAACCGATTTTTCTGTGGGAGTATCATTGTCCCCTCAGAGGCCAATATAGTCTGTGTGGTTTTTACTAATGGGTTGGTTTTAACAATGAGCCCCAAGGAGTAGCATACCCTCTAAGGATAAAAAGCACAGGTCCCTGGGTGAGATTTTAGCAGCTTTGTTTAGTAGTCGTAAGCGGGTAATGAAACTAATAGGGCCTGTAAAGAGAAAATGAGCGTGTAGGGAGATGAGAGGGTGAGTGGGAACTACTAAGTGTTTACTGTGTGTTGGGCGTTATGCTGGCTGTGTTCGTGGTGTATTATTTCACTCTTAGCAAGGTCCACTGAGAGCTTCATAATACATATATGTCAGCATGATTGTGGAGGCAAGATTCAAACTGTGGGCTCAGTCTCCAGCACACCTACTATTTGGGTGTAACTCCTTCTGCCTCCCATGGTGAGTTTGTCCCGAGGGTCAGTTAACTTTTGCTGCATGTCTTAAAACTCTAAATTCTGGGGTTCTGCCTCACCCCCAGATGAAGGACTGACTCACTGCATCAACATTTTTGTCCCGCTGAAGTTTCTCCACTATTTGTTCTCTTGAGTCATGGAACAATAACAGTTTGATGACTGTGGGTATAATATAAACCAACGCTGTTGAGTGCTTGTTCTGCAGCTTAGCTATGCGAAGAAATCTGACCTTCAGTTTGAATTGACCAAGGGCCCATTAAATTTAATCTCACCACACAGATCTAACCAGGGCCCCTTCATACTGACATTCATTTTAGATCACTAATGGATAAAACATACCTGAACCAATATAAGTACATTTCATATTGGAAATAGACTTACATCTAGCCAGATCCCCACGGTCTCAAGCCTGAATGAAGACTTACATCATTTACTAACAGCTGGAATCCATCTCTCAAATAGCAAGGCGTACCTTGGCCTCTATAAGACCTGAGACCCTGCCAGATTCTAAGGTCTTCTAATGGATAACAGCAAGATATTTCCCAAGGGTGGTTTAAAAAGCATACTTTGTACTTGATTCTGATCCTAGGGTGAGCTGTGTTGGGCAGACACCTTGGACAGTACTCTGTCCCAATGACTTCCATCTTCATTTTCCAGAACACTAACTGTTGGCCCTAACATGAAAGCAGAAATCCAAACTTCCATATTGCTTAACTATATTGCCTGGAGGCTGAACTGGTCTGCTAATAACCCAGTCATTAGTCTAGTGAGATTTTTTTTCTAGATTACTTCCAATTTAGTGTAAGCCTTTCAAATGCATGGCATACTATTTTCTCCAAGCATGTGGAAAGAGGAATTAGCTAAGGAACCGAAAGGCCCGTAATGTGTCCCAACATCCAACCATAGTTTTTCTGTTAACTCCTATCTCCTTCCCTAAAATAGATCAGCCTGGCAACGTGGATGAAAACAGGCTGATCCTGTTGGAACAGAAGCTTTTCCATGCCAAAGCCCAGATCAACAGCCAACTGCGGCCCTTAATGTCAGAGCTGGAAGAGCGAGCACGTCGGCAGAGGGACCACCTCCATTTGCTAGAGACGAACATAGATGGCATCCTGGCTGATGTGAAGAATCTAGAGAACATTAGGGACAACCTGCCCCCAGGCTGCTACAACACCCAGGTTCTTGAGCAACACTGAAGCAGTTATGGCAACTTCTCAGTGGAGGTTCTTGGGATACAGACCTCAGGACTCAGAAGCCATCTCACATGGGTGGGGTGGGGTGGGACATTGAACATAATGAGGGGGCATGCTCAGGTGAGTGGAAGCTGATCCCATCCCTGAAACCCTGGCCAGATAAATGTCTTATTGCATCAGAGTGATGCTCTTTGCTTTCTGGTGCTGGGCAGTGAGGCAAATGCATTGAGTGTCAAACTGTTCAAGGGTCAGGATCCCAAAGGGTAGATTGGATTGAAGAACAAACTGCACAGCATATGTTTGCCTCAGAAAGTCAGAAACTGAGTCTTGGAGTGTGGACAAGAAATGTGACCAAAGGAAAGTTTTTTGTTTTTTTTTTTTACTTTGCCCAGACATAAAATTCTTCCTAATGTCAGAACAGAGTGAGGTCCAGCCTTACTGTGGCCAGTAAAATACTATTGCCTCGTAGTGTCCCTTTTACTCTTCTGTTGACCAGGCCCCTCCCTCTTACCAACCTGTTGGTAAACACATTCTCTACTTTCAAGGTGCAAGAAGCTGCAAGTCTGACCCATTGGAGTAAAGGTGCCTGCATCTCCCAGTCCTGCTGGACCTGGGAGTAACGTCCTTGGCCTTGCTAATGTAGAGACTACATTTTTAATTGAACATGGGTAACCATCAGTCTTGGGAACATAATTACTTTTGGGTTTCAAACTGTTAGGGAAAAAAAGATAGCCTGGACATTGAAAGAGGTACAATTAGAAGATCTAGTCGTCCTAATTCAATTGCACAATTCAAATACCAATATTACATGTATCCGTGTCTCTCTCACTTTCTCTTTCTCTCTCTCATTTACTCTCTCTCACACACACAACATACATTCTCTCTCCCTATAGCAGAGAACATCCCTACTCACATTTGGGTAGAATCCATTCTTCCTCCCATTCATTTGTCCACTCATCTGCCCATCCATCCATCCATCCATTCAACATATATTTATTGAGTGCCTACTGTGTGCCATATGCTGGGGTACAGTGGTGACATAGTTTTTGCCCTCAAAAAGTTGATTGTCTAGTGAAGATAACAACATTAAAAGAAAGAAATTTAAACTTACAGCTCTTGTTCATCCCTGGTGGTGTTTATTGCGGTAACCCCCCTGGTTTGCCACCTTTTTGCTCAGCAGAACCTATGTTGCAAGACACTCCCATGGGGGCAGTTGGGTTCTGGAAAAGCTGAGATGGTACAGGCTGTGCACACGTCTGTGCATTCCAGCTGTCACTCCACCCTTTCCCACAAGTGATTGCAACAGACTGTTGATTCACGGTAACACCAGTGAGAATTTCTGGAAAAAACCAGAGGTGCTTCTACCTCGGCTCAGAAGACTTTGGTGCTGCCTCACCTCTGCATTTCCTTGGCTTTTCACAGGCATGTTTTAAAATAAAGTTCCTAGATGCTGATGGTCAGTTTCTAATTTATTAAACACTAAAATGGAGGAAACACAGCAATGGAAATTAAAATGCCACAGAAAGAACAGTGAATCTCAATTAGCATTTTGATTTCTATTCTGAGCCTCTTGTTTTGCCCTCTTCAGCCATGAGAGCACTTTGTGATATTTAACTGGTACCAACTCCTAAGCATGAAGAAGGATTTACTTCTGGAACAGCCCATGCAGGGTGGGGGCTATCAGTATTTTTGTTTTGTTTTGTTTTTTTCAACAACCAAAAAAAAAAAAAAAAAATCAATAATCTGTGGTACATTGTCATTTTTTAAAAAGAATTTAAACTTAATAGAGTAAGATGTTGAATTGTCCTTTTATATAAGTAGCTGAGGAAAAGTCTCTGCTTTTGGTCCCTCCGGATTTCTGATGGGCCTGACCACTTAGTTTTACCTTCTGTGAAGTGAATTCATAATCCTGTTCTATATACTCAGTCACACAACCTACAAATCTCTCACTCAGTGTAATTAACAACTCAAAGCAACAACTCAGAAACTGTTTATATATTAACTAGATTGAATAAACTACATAGACCTAAGAATGTGCATTACTCCAACATAAGACTTGTTTTTGTTTTGTTCTTTTTATTTGCTCCCATGATAAACTGAATGGGGAGAAAGTTGGCAGGGTTATCTTCCATGTAACAATTCCAGACTTTGCCACTTACAGTGCATCACTTCCAAGTTTGCCTTGGGGGAATCATCTCCACTCCACTGGGTGGGAAGGGAAAGTGACATGGAAGAGGAAGAACCAAAAAAGGTTTTGGCAGACCAGGCCTGGTAAAGGCTGCGTATCATTTTCTCTTATATCCCATAGTCTAGAACCGGTATAGTGACTACATGTAACTTGTAAGGGACTTTGAGGAGGAAGTCTTTTGGTATGAGGTTACTTCTAGGTCACAGTTCTACACCATGAATGGTGAGGATGCTGTCTCTGCCCAGTATAGAAGTGGGCAATACATCTTCCAAGGACATACTGAGGGACCCCATTCATTCAGAACCAAAGTACATGCAATCATAAAATTATCCTCAGTGGGAAACAGTGTAAAGAAAGTCAGAAGAATGCCTTCCTCAAAAAGAGGATGCTGATCTCTGAGTAGATGTGGGGAATGGAAAATGACTCATGTGACTCCCAAGGCATAGAAATGATTCCCTCATGTCTGAGGTCTTGACATCACATCCCTAAGGAGAGATGAGGCATGGCCCTTTATAAAGATAGCTGGCCTAGGCTCTTGTCAAGTGAAGGGAGCGATCTCTCTGCTATTTCACCAGCACTTAAAATTTGTATCAAAATGTTCTTATCGTTCTGTCTGAATTTTCGGATGAATGGTGTCTTTGGGAAGCTAATAGACATAGTTAACTACTTTGACTCACAGGGATTTCTGTTTAGAGACAGGGCAGAAATGAAACTGCCCAGAGTTGTCAGTACTGAACAGATGCATTTCTCATCTTATCCCAGGATGTGGTTTCTTACTAGCACTCTTGGGAGACTGGAAAAAAAGGGCAAAAACATACTCAGTGAAGTCCAATGTTTTGAGCAAGTCTCAAGGACTAGGAACATGTTTATCATGTCTCCTTTTAGTGGTTCTCATGACCATGGGAATGTTAGGGATTCTTGCTGCAGCTCCACTTTACCTCCTGGAAAGCACAGATTAGAATTTCTTCAGGATTTCTTTATACTACTGGCAACATGGAAATTCCAAGATCTGAAGCTTATTTATGGGTGTATGTACATTGATGACTTATATTTAGTATGTATACTGTATACATTAGTATAAGATAGCAAATTAAACCAGTGTTTATACCCAGTTTTAAACAAGTTTTCATCATTATGAACACTAAGGACAAAGGAAGAAAGTAGTTAGGTCTGTGACCAAACCAGGCAACATAAATACAAGTCATCAATTTATAGGACAGATCAAGCATCATGGTATGCCACCAAACCCACATGGTGGCATACATGGAAAACTCGCTCTTCTCAAAGCAAAAACAAAAGACTATGAACCAAATGATTAAAAAAAAAAAAAACCTACAACTAATCTAAAAGTAACTAAGTCTTAACTGAGCTGGTCTGATGAGGAATTTCTATTTCACCTTCTGAATCATAATTGATAGCTGCTAGCAACAAACACCACTTAGATCTAAACCAATCCACTCTATATATCACAGCTAAAAATGAAATAAGAACAAGTAGTCACAGCAGGACTAGACAATTATCAAACTATTCATTTTTTGCTTGTTTACATTGCCTAAACAAACTGTAGTTTAACAACTTCTGTCTTAAGATTGGTCATGCCATAAAGTCAATTATTAAGTTTAAAATTTTCATAGATGTATTTTAACTTCACAGAGGACTAGCTTCACTAAGAAGCCAAAGCTATCCAATACCAAACTCTGCAGATTAGGTAGGAACTAGATTTGATTTGGTTTTACTTTTTGCACAGAAGATCTAGGGTTAAGGCAGGAGGTACCAGGAGAAGGGTGTGAGGATTCACCATAGGCAGAGCAGGAGCAGAACAGGGAGATCTACTGAAATACACTGCTGAAGGGAGCAGCAGGTGAGACGGGAGAGGTCTGCTGTGCCATATGTGGGTCAACTCCCTGGCCAGGATCTAATCAGACCATTGTAGTGATAATGCTGAGACTTAATACCTAGGCCACGAGGAAGGCCCAGATTTGAATATTTTTAATTGAAAAAGCTTAGGCACAACTCATAAATTTGCTAATTGTTCTTTCCTGCTTATGATCCTTGAGCTTGGCTGTGGCTAATTTTATACTATAAATGTGGCATCAACAGAACCATAGAAAATACTCTCTAAGAATATTTTTACAACTGTTGTCTATCAAGTAAGACTCTGAAAAATAATTGATTCTACAATTGACAGAGAAGATTCTAGACCAAGATAAAAGACTCTCGTAGCATGTCTTATTTATTAACATAATTGAAACATTTTGCTGATAAAACTTTGGTGCATGATGACTCTAGCAATAGAATTTTACTCAAAATATTTCACTGTGAAATGGTGTTGCAACTTTAATTTTTTATTAATGAACTGATTTCCATAAAGCAAATTTTACACTTAAAATGGCAGAGTCAGTGACTAAAAAGTGATTTAAAAAAGCTTCCCTCCTCCCCATGCCAATCCTTGAGACCACCTGGATCAGGCTGAGTTCTGGGCCCTGGACCTAGATTACAAAGGAGGAGGGAGAGTGTAACTCATTCCCGACCAACTGGAATCTGTCGACAGGACACTCCGAACTTGCACGACAAGGAAACCACGTGAAAAGGTGAGTTTACTGGGCAGCTAAGGAGGGTGGAGACAGATAAACTGGACAGAATATACTCATCATCATCATCATTACCACAACGCTACTCCTAAGGTGTCCTAATGTGAGCTACAAAATCGGCCTGTTTCTACCCTTTCTACCTCACTTGTCAAACTTGCTGCAGTAACCTTGGGAGGGATCCTGAGCTTTTCATATTCTACTAAGTTATTTTTACATCACTTTCTTGATAAGATATCAT